TCTCTGTCATCACTGATTACGACGTCTTAACATAAATGCTTTTCTTCCATGGGGTTTGGTGTTGTGTGTTTTTACGAACTGGACGTGCCGCCACACCCCAAATGTTAGCATGTGTTATGGGTGAGCATCTTAAATGAGGCCTGTCAGACTCCGATCTAGTTTCCGGTGTTTATGCAGCGCATCCATTGCGTGGTTTGTTTCAGGGGCAAATGTCGCGGAGATAACGCTGCACGACGGTGTCGTGTGAGCGATAGCGCATCATCCCCCCAGGCCATGAGCACATGTGCGCAAACTATGCACGGCAGAAATGCCAGCGAGCGGCCCGCCCCTCCCCCAGTCCACTGGCTGACAAGGTATGTCTGTCCGCCCTCCCTCCTTTAGGTTTCCTGCGATAGGCTTTGATCCACCGGGCTGCGGTTTCGGCACTTCCCCCGCCTGCGACTGCAGTGATCCGGAGGTCCTGCAGCAAGATGCCCGAGTTGGCGTGAATTTGATGCATCAACAGGGTCATCGGAGCTTATTCTGCGTCAGTTGGTGAGAGGGCGACCAGTCAGCCATCCGGGCAGCATCGGAGTTATGGGTGCTGACATCAACCTCCTGTCAACCGACCTCTCGTCGGACGTCTCGATTTAATGATCTGTACCCCCTTAAGGTCGATAAGTACTAAAACAAAAAGCGCGATAAATGCACCGAGACAGTGCACCAATTTTTATTTAATATTTGAATGTGTTGTCACATTTGGTTTTATTGCTCCCCAGTTCTCCCACACCGTAAACAGGTCCGTCAAGTTATCTCAGCTACTGTACCCAGTCTCCTCATTCTCAGACCGCCTGACTTGAGCAAGCCACCGAGGGTGATGACTGTCAAAGTCGGCTCCCTCTCTTAATGTTTTCACTTTACACGGAACAATGAGCTCTGCCTTGATTAGGACTGGCAAACAGTTGTTTCTTGACGTTGTGCAAACTGGCGGCGTAACACGCCCCTTCTCAGGACCTAGGGTCAGCCTGCATGCCTCATTGTTGATGTGGACCTCGGATTACGCTCGACTGGGTGATATCTCCCTCACCCCCCTCCCCAAGTGGAGTCTGGAAGGTGGTGTGCAGTTAGGGAATTGGTAGTGTGTGGCGGGCGTATATGATCTGTACGGATGTGCTCAGCCTGATCAGTGAACAGATGAGGTTGATAAGAAGAATGACCACATCATTCGCTGCTATCAACACGCTTACTGATGCCATGCCTTCATTTCGGCCGCCGCTATTGTGATACAATGAGCTAGTCTGTGAACTGGGTCCTCTAGATGGAATCATGTGATCGCCACGAGGGACGACCTGCATCGGCTGCGCGCAGACTGGACGCAGCACTGGTGACTTTCATGGGAATGCGTTTATTGTGAGGCAGCTCTGCGCAACATCTACCCCACCCCCTCCCTCCCTCTCTCCCACCCACGCTCACCGGACTCCGATGGAAAGACAATGTCCAGATGACTGGAGGTGGGATCGGGCGCAGTGGTGGACAAAGCTGCAAACTGTCCGTCTATGCATTCCCTCACGCGACCTGGTCAAGCATCGAGCGGTGATGGTGTTGGCGGTGGATTTGAGATAGGAGGAGGAGGAAGAGGATGAGGGGGGCTGACAGTATTCATCCGTAGCATTTGAGTGTTGCCGGCCACCCTCCTTGTTTTGCTACATTGCTAATCCAGTCTTTACGCTAATGCGTCACTCCTGTCCACCTTCAGCGACATCCTTCGATGTCTCTGGGTTGATTTTTTGGTAAAGCACCCTAACGAACAGACTTGCGTGTGCACAGTCTCAGATGAGACCGCACCTTTGTCGGTGGGCGGATAGCACCCTGACCACTACCGAATTTCTGCACAGAAGATCCGGCCTCTACTGCTGTCTTCCCCAATCTCACGTCATGCACTTTGTCATCTCACAACCCATATCGTTTGATAGGCAGCAACTTACGGAATAGGTCAGCCTTCACCGTATACATGTGCGTGAAGAATTCAGTAATGGCGATGTGAGCGTAACATCGCAGTGCAGACAACGTCAACTTTGATGACGTGGATGCGGATATCTTCGGTGAGGTATGGGAAACATTTGTGAGGACACACATGGAATATGCGGTACAGGCTTGGCGTCCGTTACTTCGGGAGGGCATAGCTCATCTTGAAGGTGGTGTGCAAGGACGTGCTAGATAGCTTGTCCATGAACTCAAATATTTGACGTACGAATAGCGCCTGACAGCCTTAAACGTTTATGGTCTCCACTATCGACAAGACGTCGATGAGCTTTTTTCAAGTTCCAATTGCTACGGTGAATTGACGAATCTTCGACGTCATGATTGCCAACACGACAGGGAAATACGCCGCAAAAATCAACGCCATATGTCCTGACTGACTTGGTTTCACAACGCATCCACTGTTATCCCCATGTATATATAGTTCTTCGGTTTATGTGAAATTTCCTCGCCGCAGTTTATGGGGTTTAGCTTCCAACTAATTGTGGATTATCATCTACCACTCCTCTAGTTCCTGCCGAATTTCAACTGGTGGTGTTTGTGCGTGTGTGTGTGACACTGAGATCGGGTTGGATAAGTGAGCGCGATGCTCGTCATTCTCAGCCCCAACTTTCTGTTTCCCACTTTAAACGGAATTCAAACTGATCCTGTGTGGCTCACGTGGATGAGCTGTGCAGATTTCTGGGCCAGTGCGTCAACGCTCACTTCCGACCTCCCGCCTGCCCATCACACCTCGCCCCTTTCGGGTAACCCGTGACCTAGCCATAGTTCAGTTCTCACAGTTACCACCAATGCCTCCTTCATTCCCATGTGCCTACCTCTTCCTAAAAATATTTCATTATTCCACTATTATCCAATATCCTAATTCATCACATAGCTAAGACCACGTCCAATTATTAGTAGCTGGTATCTCCACCGACGTACACCTAAGTCCAAAGGCAGAGTTGCATTTAAATGACAAAGTAGTATTTCATTAGTCAAGAACAAACATGCACGAGGTCTGGGAGCACTGCCCTATGAAACCAGACTGTCAACTCTCAACCTGTTTCCCTTATATTAACATTTCGCATTATCAACGGCCTAGACTGTTGTTTAGATCCCACTGATTAGTTTACTCAAGCTAACACGCCCACTTTGCGCGGTCATCCCGTAAAACTACGCGCAGGGAAAGAAAGGATCAATGGACGAAGGTTATATTTCAGTAACAGAGTAGTTGCAGCGTGGAATGCCCTGCCTACCGATGTCGTAGTTGCCTCCTGTGTGAATTCCTTGAAGTGTAGACTTGACGCTTATCATGCTTCCCAATCACCAGCCTCACATCCACTCACGTAACCCGACACTAACGTGTGCGTTTGTGCTACTTGCAATTAGGAAGTAACCGTTAATGATTACTATTTATCGGCTAGCTGGCAGCTGTCCGCGGTTATGTACAAAATTCATTTTTCACCTTCACACATATCAATGGTTTTTCCCTTAATAAACAGAAACACCCCAATGACAATCAGAAGAGGTCTGATATATGAAGGTGGGTTGCTGTGCGACTATCTGTGGACGCTCTAGCTCACAGCTTTGAGCAAAACGGTCTCGAACGTATTTCGTCCTGCTTTCAAACGATATCCAGGTGACTTTGCAAATCAGCAGGCCACAGCCAATGAGATAGCTTGGCAGAATGCGCATTCTGCAATCGCCTCTTCCAAGTCCACATAAACAACCGTTTCAACCAGATGACACATCCCAATATTTGGGAAAAAATAGCACATCTTTCGGTGCATTTATCGCGCTTTTTATTTTAGTACTCGTCAGCATTAACAGAAACAGTGTGTGAGGAGTACAGATACAGATCATTAAATCGCAATGTCAGGTGACACGAGGTTGGTGTCAGAGGACAAATAGCCGAATGCGCCACCAGCAGAACTGGCCAATGAAAACGCGGCTGACCGTCGAAATTCAAGTCTGATGCTGTCTGGATGGCTAACTGGTCGCCCTCTGACCAGCCGACGCAGGAGATGGGCAATTGGCCCAACTGCTGTATCAAATTCACGTCATGTCTGGCATCCTACAGCAGGGCCTCGGGATCACTGCAGTCGCGGGCGGGCGAGCGTGAGTGTGGAATGCTGAAAACGCAGCCCGACAGATGAGATTCTATCGAAGAAATTCATGCGGGCAGGCAGAGAGGGAGGGGGGGGGAGGGAGGGAAGATGGGGGCGGAGAGAAATACGTTGTCGACAGACGTCCGACACCTTTGCCATGCATAGTTTACACCAATGTGCACACGGCTGGAAGGCTTTGTCGTGTATCCGTCACACAGTACCCTCATGCAGCATTATCTCCGCAAGCAAGCATTTAGAAATGAATGATCGTGAGCGATGACTGCCCGAACTCCTCATTTTGCATAAGGTGCTCCAAAAGTACATTCATACTGATGTACAGGACTGATCTGCTTTCCATCATTCAAAAAAATTGCACTTTGCTGCAACTTTCGCTGGAAGTCCAGGTAGTGCATCACTGCCTGTGATAATCAGGAGAGGTTTCACTGTGGGCAGTCATTTTGCAGAATACGGCCGACAGATTGACTGTCCGTTTTATCCTTATCTACAGGCGTGTGATGTGTAACTACCTGCAAGCAAGGTAAGATATTTGCAGAAGAAAAGGAGAAGAAAAGCCCCAGATGCTACTCCGACGTCTCAAACTCTCACTCGAGTCCGCCATCAAGGATCAAGGAAAACATACCGCTATTGAACCCCCAGGAGCTTGTGGGACTTAGATGCGTGTGCAATGCAAGACAGTTCACTCTCCAGACGTGCCTTAACAGCAATACTTTTCTGACGTGCGTGCCAATGAGCGGTCTCTGTATGCTAGCATCCCCACCCAATCTTCAGTGTGTACAAATTGGCTACGTATTGTAGTCGACGGCATCTTCGTCAGTTGTATATCGTATTTCCGCATGCGACTTTCATGGTGTATCCAGATCTATATCTACATCAGCTTGTAAATATACGCTTCACGAAGCCGCCATGGAGAGCAAGCATTTCGCTTATGACGTCGTAATCAGTGATGGCGGAGACGAGGATGGGAGGGAGGGAATGAGCAGGATATTCTTGACTCCTTGGCGCTCTTCGCAGATAGCGGATGCTGACGGAAAGGGCCTCCTCGTAGGTACCATACATTTGATTTTTGCGGCGAGCCCTGCTGAGGCCGATTCGGAAGGAGGAAGGAGACGAGAAGTCCTCAGCATCCAGCAAGTCCATGGAGATTGAACATGCACGCTCTACAATGATTCCGATAGGAGAAGCTGTAGGTGGATTTTTAAAATTGCAAAATGCCCGTACAAGTGCCTCTGTATTCTCTGGTACAGCATAAATGCAGATAAATGTGCAATTTGTCCAGAAAGAAAGGGCGCATCGACCTGTAACACTATTTATCTGTGGATGCAATATCTATGAAGACATGTCCAATCCTAAGAGGGCACCGTATTTTTCCTACTCCAATGCAGGTCTCTTCTCGTAGGTTCGCGTACCAGGCCGGTCGCGGTTGATGCAAAATGCAATCTTGTGTCCAAATGTAGCGCGATCTCGTCTTCGGGGCTCAGTCTGATATTTTCATGGTGATTTAATTGAGGTCTGAGATCTATGGATTTCGTGTGACCCAGCTTGACAGGAAGTGTGTAGGGCTGTCCCTCATGTCTTCTTCTTCTTCTTCTCCATGGTACGGCTGCGATCATGCCTGATCTAGCCGGCATCATCGAGGCCTTCTCTGCTTGTCAGTCGCATTTATATAACATCATTCGTTCTTTCGCCTGTGTTTGAGAGAGGGAGAGGGAGAGAGGGAGCACGATAGATCTCATTTCGCAAGTGTCATTCTAAAATTTTCAGCAAATAGGCCTCCATCCACAGTGGATAAAAATGGGGCATGCAAAGCAGATACAGCTCGTGACCGGTCTCATGAAATATTGATCGAAATTCTGAATGGAGTTTTCGGTTAGGAAGGATTACTTAGGTTGGGTTGTAACATTGATTATCGTGCGGCATAACGCTATATATTTCGGACTCGCCAGGATGTCGCCTTTTGAGTGCACTCCTTTTCGACCTCATGCAGAAACCACAATCTGTAAAAATTATCACTTATTCTGCATACATTTTTCACATTAATTTTCGTCTGAGCCGATAAATTCAAATATATTTTGTAGAAGAAATGCACAAAATATGCATCGTTTACACGTTTGGTCGGTAACCACATTGTGCTCACATTTTATACCCGAAAGTGTGTATTTCAGTTTTGAAAATGTTTCCCAATTCCCGAATCATTTCGAGCCTGATCTGCCACTGCATTAGCGCTAGTCGTTTGCAGTCTGCAAGGTGTACGCTTTCCGTGTAAGAAAAATCACATACTCCTCTATACCCTTAAGAAGATACTATATGGATTTCATGAAATTCTGCAATGGATGTGGACTATGTTGTACATTTCATGAGGAGCACTGTGAAACTGATATGTGCCATGCTGAATGAATGGACATCGCACGGTCTTAAAAAATCTCGTAATGCAAAACTTTGTTAAAACCGAAGGATAAAATTGCTTGGGGTATAAAATGTAAAGAGGATGTGACCTTCTACCAAACAACAAATAGAAAGAATATTTTTGTGCCTTTTTTATATAATGTATTTAAGTTTGTTTTGTCAGCGAAAATTGATGTGAAAAATTCATACTAAATAAGTTGTCATTTTTCAACACGCGTGGTGTCTTCAGAAGATTGAAAAGAAAAGCATTTAAAACGCGACATTCCTGCGAGTGCGAAATTCTATAGCGTTATGCTGAATGATAATCAATGTTACAATCCCACCCAAGTAATTCTCCCCAATCGAAGCATTTCCGCCAATATTTCATGATATCGGTCAACAACGATGACCTCATTATTGTACTTCAGATAATCAAAGAGGGGAAAATGTATGTATATAATTCGCGAAATAGGCCAACAGATGTACATATAAGAAAATTTCAATGTGAATGCAGAGTAGAAAAAAATGATAACTAACCTGCCCTGCGACGGAGGCGGTGGCTGGGATGTTGTGTGGTAGGACAGTCAGCGCTTGAGGCGAGCTTGTTTGCCTGTGGCAGTCCGTTCTCCTGGTCGACAGTCTGTTATTCTCTGACGACGCCTTCTGTCAGCCTGACACCTCCTGCCATTTGCAACGCACGTGACATGGTCACGGATTGGCGACAGCTTGACTGGAATCACAGTTGTGTCATTTGATAATAAGTAGAAGCGATCGCTGGAATTAGAGCCTTATTCGCCCGACGCTTCGGATTCTCCCTCGAAGCCATCATCAGGGGCAGTAGCAGAAACGGGTGATTCGTGCACGGGAGGTTGCAGTATTTATAGGCTGCAGTCGCTATGCCACTGCATGCCAATGATAATTAATCGCCCTCCCCCCCCTCATCGAGGATTGTTGCGCGCTGGTGCGCTAATTGCCTCATGGACTGCCTGCAAGTTGTCAATTGCTGAAATCTCATCACTCGTGTGGCATGCTGGCGGGATGATTGCTCGGCCATCTGGCTCACCGGCCTGCGGGCAGGGAGCGCAAGCATGCACAAGGATTGCATCATTCGCCATGATCTGATGCTGTCTCTGATGTGAACCTGAAAGGTCAATTCGTATTTCCACGGTTGCGTCTCCTCCGCCTTCCTGAAATAAAATATTTAAACACATGATTGGACCTCGGCTTTTAAATATATCTTCTCATAGTGAGGTGGGAGGAAGCAGCGAGCGTGTATGTACAGGGACAGCCACAACCTGTCTTTGCTCTGCACTGACCTAGACAACTCCGAAATAAGATGTGCATCACCTCTACGCACATTGCTCGATTCTCAATATGCTCCAACTATAATAATCATCGTCTTGCCATGTCTCACATTGGTCTGGATGAAACTAGACAAAGCAGATATCCCGAATGCCAAGTATTTTTCAGCACGACTACGCCGCATCATGATGGCTTGTTGCCCAAACTCAAGGCCAAATGTGATATCTCAGCGTGTCTGTTGCCGGTCATATACGCTGGTTCTTCATGCTGACCCGGACTCCTTTGGAATTTTGATAAAATGAACCTTCAAATAAGCCCCTAATATGCGCGTAAGCCCGTTCTTAATACCAGCAGGATCTTCTGGCGTGTTTGCAAGTCACTCTGCATACTTTAATCTTCTCCCATTTGTCCTCTCCGTCCACCAGTGCACAATATCAAGCATTCTTCACACACCATCCTATGTGTGTCGCACGAAAAACAGAGGCGTCACGTCCTCTTAGCCATCAGTCTACGTCCACTCCCTCTGCCTGTCGCTACTCCGTCAGCCTCGTCGGCTGTTTCGGTTATTTGAATGTGCCAATACGAGACTGCGAGATGACTAACTGTTAGCTCATGCTAGCAATTGACTGTGTACACGAAACCTCTACGGATCAGTGCAGTTTATGCCAAAGTCAAACAACTACAGCCAGAGATTTCCCTGCTGCTCTACGAGGATCTGTATCCTAACTGGTCCAATGCCTTTATAGTGCATGTCCAATGGAAAACTGGACATGGGCGCAATGCTGATCGTCCCCTGGATCATCCGGAGCGAAGAACATGTCACAGTTTTGTCTAAAACGCCACGTCAATATTCACAACGGACTGCAATCCACCGCCAGTCCCATCAGTCATTGACAATAGTTCTGTTTGTGGATCATCGTCGGAGACACTTTTTGGCTCATATAGGCCGAGCAGTAGTTTCAGAGTCTCGGGCGACCTGCGGACTGGTTAAGGAAATTGCAGCCATTGGCGAAATCCACCGTGTGCCACACAGACTGAAGGCAGCACAGGCGAGGTTCGCGTGAATCCCTTTATTGTGAGGCAGACCTGCGCAACATCTACCCCACTCCCTCCCTCCCACACCCACAGGGCTCCAATGGAAAGACAAGGTCCAGATGACGGGGGTGGGATCGGGTGCAATGGTGGACAAAGCTGCACACAGTCCGTCTATGCGTTCGCTGACGCGATCTGGTAAAGCATCGGGTTGTGTGAAAGAACATGCATCTCGCATGCATGGGCGCTGCATGTCCCGTCCGTGTGTCGGGCGATGAGGAGTGAGTTCCTGTGTGGTGTATGTGCTGGTGGATCGAGGTGAATACGACCTAGAGCGTCTCCGACACGTCGACACACATATACCTCAGTTATATGGCTTGCCCAAGATCCACATAAATGGTACACCGGCTCTAGACATGAGAAACTCGCCGTCGTCAACTACTTCTGTGAATCCATTGCCTCCAATCATCATGATATAGTACTGCCGGTGGATGTTCTCAAATAATTGCTACTGAGATGTACCTAAAACGTACAGCTTTTATTTGACTACAACCTGTATACACAAATCGACTAAGTAGCTATAGGCCCGCACCTTCGTCCGCGTTTGGCGAATATGTTCATGCGCAAGCTAGAAGCTTTCGAACTTCGTCGCCAGATCGATGGTCTGAGATATTATGAACGCTATGTGGATGATATATTCGCGATTGCACCTAAACAAAACGACGTTTGAGTCCCACGGGACGAAATCAATCAAGCACACCCATCAATCAGATTCACGCTTGAAGGAAAACAGTCCAGATCGCTCCCCTTTCTGTATGTGCTTTTGAGCAGAAGGCCTGCAGTTAGTATTCGACGTCGCGTCTAACGTAAGAAGACGTGGTCCGGACATAACAAGAATTATAGGAGGTTCGTACCATTAAACATAAGGCGCTGCTTGACACAAAGAGTAAGGAGGATCTGCTCAGCTGATAGCATTGAGGTGGAACTTAAGATTGTTGAAATTCGCCTTCGCCGGAACGGGTACCTCGGTGGATTCATTGTTACGTACATGACCGAAAGACTTCCAAATCCCTCGAGGCTGACGGCAGACAAAAATAAGCTTTTCCTCAGGGTACCGTTTCAAGGGGACGCGCCAAGTGAACTTTTAACAAGGCGCCTAACTCAATCTATATCACACACCTTCCCGGCAGTCGACGCCGCTGTACTCTTCTCTACTAGTCCCATCATATACGGAGAGGACAAGGACAAACTGTCAGGCCAGACCACCTCTATGTGTGTTTACTCCCTCACCTGCTTCTGTGGGGCAGAATATATTGATGACAATCTCAGTAAAGACATGCCCGTGATTTACCATACTTCAATGCATACTTCACCGCATAGCCTTGTACACCAAATCCGGTGAGATGGGTGCTAAGAGCAGTGTCAGGTCGACGAAAGGTGTCGCCTCGTGAAGCTCCACTTTTGCTCGCGGGAATTAGTGAGGAGTTGAGATGCCGATTTTACTGACGTCGCAGATGCACCTGAAAGAAGATGTGGTTTGCGAGTCATCCCGGCTGACTGGGCTGCCGCCTAGGGCTACGATCGGTCGAGGCGAAAGGTGGGATTTGGGGCAGTCCCTGGCACCCGGCTGGCGCTCAGCCAGTTGCTTCTATTTAATGCCATTCGTCCAACCCATACCTGCATTGGGTAAGAAGACCGTTTAACTGATAACTAACATGTCCTGAGACGGTGACGGTGGCGGCTGCGAGGATGTTGTGTGGTAGGACAGTCAGCGGTTGAGGCGAGCTTGTGTGCCTGTGGCATCCCGTTCTCCTGGTCGTCAGTCTGGTTATTCTCTCCTGACGTCCTCTGGCAGCCTAAATAACACTTCCTGCCAATTGGATTCTGCTTGCAACGCACGTGACAAGGCCACGTCGTGGAGACAGCTTGACGCCAATCGGCGTTGTGTCATTCGCTGATCGGGCTTCTAGGCGGACAAAGGTCATGTGGGCAAGCACGCACGCACCGCCCTCGGCGCACCTCCAAAGGTTGGGCCTCGCCTTGCTGAAACAATTGTCGCCACTGTCTTCTGAGTCGCATCTGCAGTCCCCTGTCACAGCAAGAGCTGCTCGACCAATTCTCTGTGTCAGTCTTCTGTTTCCACAGCAATCAACACTTCCTTCATTTCCATGTTCGTACTTCTGCGTACAACCATTCCATTGTGCGGTTAACTGACAAAGGGCACTATAAAAAATGCATGCTCCATCTCCTAGCAATTATTATTATTATCATTATTAATGGTATAACATACAGACCCAACTGTGAGAAACTCGGCGCCTCGGTGTGATCCGAACCCACGCAATAAGGGAAATACTTCAGTACAGCCAACGCTCTAACCACTTGATCTACGAGGCCCCGCCTGACGACGCGAGTTTAATCACATTTGGATCAAGTTACCCGCCCAACTTACTGCAACGTCTGGAATCCACCAAATCTGCTACAGTGAGTTGACTGTCCAAGCAGGATTTCCTAAGTAATTCACCTAGAATCCACCAGATGACTACCAGGCTCACGTAATTCATAGATATTTTGGCAGATTTTGAATAATTCATATTGACCCAACTGTGAAAAACTCGGCACCTCGGTGGGATTCGAACCACGTGTCGTCCGGCGGGGCCTCGTACCTCAAGTGGTTGGAGCGTTGGCTGTACTAAAGCCTTCCCCTTACAGCGTGGGTTCGAATCCCACCTAGGCGCCGAGATTTTCACGGTTGGGTCAGTATGAATGATTCAAAATCTGCCTAGATATCTATGAATTAGTATTATTATCATTATCATAATTACTTTTATTACCATTTAATTGTGTCCCGCCAGACGTACGAAATATCTTGCGCCAACACTCTAACCACTTGAACTACGAGGCCCCGCCGGACGACGCGTGGGTTCGAATCCCACCGAGGCGTCGAAATTTTCACAGTTGGGTCAATATGAATCGTTCAAATTCTGCCAAACTAACTGTGCCCTCTCCCACCTTCGGTCTTCTTGATTTTGTCATGAAAATGGGCCCGATCAGGTGTGGTTATGTAGCCCCACCTGAAGTAAACAAACTCCAGCCATTTGTAATACGAGACTGGTGGTAATAGGGGTTTTTACAGGTGTGGCCACCGAATCCGCTGTCGAAGAGGTCAAGTAATTTATGCAAAAGAGAAGCTATTGGAAATTGAAATACTTTGAAATGTTGAGATTTATCTGCCCTAACCTGTAACCTCAAAGCGAAGAGTATTGTGTGCATCAGGTGGGGCTGCATAGCCACAACTTACCAGGGGCCCAGGCGGTTGTGGATGAGTTGAGGGAGTGGGGTAGATGCATTGTAAGTCTACCACTACTATAAACTAAATCACGCGCATGTCACCCTGTTGTCGGATGCAGGCTCATTAGCCATCATTAGTTAGGTCTCCTACCGTACCGACTGTCTAACTTTCGAGCTACACATTTCCACCCCTTTACAGGTGATTAAGTGGACCATTAATTGCGCCAACTTGTGAAATTTGGAAACTTGATAGGAGACGATGCCTCCAGATCGCTGATAATTCATTGTTTCCGGGTGTCTTATTGTGATGGTGTGATCCAACTTGATCATCATCGCTGTCTTCGAGACAAGATGTGATGGTCGTGTGAATATGGTGGATACCGTTCCTGACCTATCTGATGATGAATAGCAAAGAACTGCATATTTGAGTCCTTGTAAGCACGAACCACCCAGTCTGCATCCACGAAGGTTACACTGGGTCGAAGGAACGACCCACCTTCAAAAGAAGGCAGAGTTTGGCTTCCGCCGTCATCGTAGAACCACCGACATGATCTTCGCCGCCCCTCAACTGCAGGAAAAGTGTCAGGAGATGCCGACCCACTTCTACTCTACCCTCGGGGATCTGACCAAAGATTTCGACATGGTGAACCGTGACGGACGTTGGAAAATTAAGCAGAAACTCGTCTGTCCCGAGCGATTCTCTCAGATGGTGTATCACCTCCAAGATGGCATGATGGCGCCAGTCACGGATAATGGGGATGTATCAGAGGCATTCGCTGTGACCAACAGTGTGAATCAGGGCTGCGTTCTCGCACCTACTCTCTTCAGTCTCATGTTCTCTGCCATGCTGATGGACGCCTACCGTGACGAACGCACTGGGATCCGTATCGCCTACAGGACGAACGGCCACCTACTCAGTCCTATGCTGATGTACTTTCAATCGCGTATTTCTCTTCGCCGACGACTGCGCTCTCAACGCCACCTCGGAAGGTGTCATGCAGATCAGCATGGACAGGGAGGGGGGTTTATTATAGGTCTGACGTTACTTCGTCTACCCCACCTTCAGAGACTGGGAAGCGATTTGCACAGCTCTCCTTATAGGGGGCACTTTGTTTGATGCGTGGTCTGGCAATGCCGCCTGTGTGACTGCAGTTGACCCGCATGCCACCGTGACCTAAATCGTCCCCGCCCTCGTCGGCCGCGAAGATGGTTTCCGCGCGAGGCTTCTCACTAGCCTCACGAGAGTTCGAAGCCAATCAACACTGCCTATTCCCTGATTGGCTGGTGGACGCGAACTGGGACAGAGCGAAAGGGACACACACGCCCTATGAGGGCGGGGGCGGGGGTAACAACCTCAACGTTGGACAACAACACAATCAACTTGCCTGGACTGACAGCTCAGGGCGACTGCTTGCAGGGCCTACAGTACGCACCTCCTCAGCAGTAAAGATTGTCCAAACCTATTCGTCTTCCCTGACTTCTGATTAGGGAACATTTGTCCTGTCGACCATACCATTGTGAACTTTCGAGTCAGCCTCCAATCGCACCAGTGGTGACCTCCGACCTCCACCCTTCTAACATTTACCTTCTGACCTTCTCTGTGTTCTATATCCTATCTCTGATTGTGCCCCTAACGATGGGATCCACAGATGCTGCTATTTCTCTCCATAGAGTCAGTGTGTCCCTTCTATAATTTTGACAGCAAGCTTCAGAACTCTAATTTTTTCTGTATCAGGGCCACCTTTTACTGTGCGAAGACAACTCAGTCTAACTGAGGCTCCTCCCCCAACCCACCATGCTCTCAGAAGTTTAAACTTTCTTATGCGACCCTCCCACTGATGCTCCTTACACAGAGCTTCTTCGACTCACTCCACTTTCTGATCGTCAACGCTACCATGCTCTCGTAAAAGAAGAAGAAGTAGAAGAAGAAGACGAAGTAGAAGAAGAAGAAGAAGAAGAAGAAGAAGAAGAAGAAGAAGAAGAAGGTTTGGGCGACCGCAAGCCCTTTTGAACTTCTCCGCCTCAAAGCCCATAAAGACTTGCCTAATTAGCTGCAATATATACATGGCCGAATTGACCGCCTTCGCGCAGTTCAGTATTGGCTAGAATGAGGATGTAATCCACACATCCGCGTACTCCTGACTGTCAACATGCTCCAATGGTGGACCATTTAGAAAGTAATTCCTGGGCTTGGGGTCTCTGCAGTTGCCGTGTTGAACAAAGTTGTACTTACTTACGTTGGAGGGCATAAGCCAGCGCGCACAATAAGTTCGTTCTGTCTAATGTCAGAAGTGAAGAGGTAGTGAGAACTGGCTTATTCTGTACACAGGGCGTATTGCCGCGAGTTGGCTGTTTGCTTGTGGTCAGAGGAAAGCGTCCGCTCGGGTGAGCGGAAGTCGTGATGTGAGGTTTATTGCGCTGGCGTCAGCACAGCATGAGGGAATGTGTAGGTGAGTGCAGGACATGTGATTGGACGGAGTCGGTGTTGCATGCTCAGAAAGGCGCGCAGGGGTAAAAATCGGGGAGGTTGGAAGCGAGTGAGGCGGTGAGAGACTGCGTGCGCACACGTGATCCGTTGAAGGCGAGCAAGAGGCGGCCCAGAACAGACCAGAGGGATGGCC